ATAGAAAAATGTTCAAAATATATGATTTTCTTCTTAACTAAAAAACATGTTGAAGCAGCTGAGAGAGAAATTGTAGGACATACTTTTCCATGGCCTGATATTTTTCATGTCTGCACACAGCCTTAAATAACATAACGATACCAAAATCCTCTGTTCAGACTTACATATACTACTAGTATTTAATGCAATTATAAAACTCACTCATAGAACACAAGTAAAATTATAGAATTCACTCAACAAGCACAACTAAAATGTAAAATTATCTTGCTTTTACATTTATGAAAGGCTGATGGATTATCACCTCAGTGTAAGAACAAGTATTGCCTAACTAGTATTATTAAAATTTTATTGAAAACTAAAAGCTAATGGATGAAGATGTTATTAACTTCTGAGTAGTTATATCAACTAATATTAAAACAAGATTCTCAGGTTTCTAGTTCATATTGTGCATTCATTTATGGTAAAATTGAGAAATGCACACCGATTTATATTGGAGCTCAGATTTTTATGGGCACACACAAAACTAAGAGTAAAAGTAATATTATATGAAGAATGATGATAATATTTTGCATTTTAAATTCTTCTGTAAATAAAGTCAAAAACACCTTAATGGCTTATTATCTTTTTAATTAAGTTTATTTGCACTTTATACTACTTTTAATATACAATAAAACAGAAAAAAAGTTTTATGATTATGTACTCATATTAATTTAAAGCAGGAATTAATCCTACCCTTAAAAAAATTAGACTTGTGTACAAGACAGTCCTGGAGGCATGTAGTAAGAAAGAAACATTCCTTGCAGGCACCGGTTTGGCTCAGTGGATAGAGCGTCGGCTTGCGGACTGAAAGGTCCCGGGGTTCGATTTCGGTCAAGGGCATGTACCTTGGTTGCGGGCACATCCCCAGAAGGGGGTGTGCAAGAGGCAACTGGTCGATGACTCTCTCTCATCGATGTTTCTAACTCTCTATATCTCTCTCTTCCTCTCTGTGAAAAATCAATAAAATATATTAAAAAAAAAAAAAAAGAAAGAAAGAAACATTCCCTTTTTACTCAACCAACTGTTACCCCTAAAAACAAAGATGCATATGAAGGTTATGGAAATGACTGCATATAACTAATTAAACTGTGCTGAATTCGAGTAACATTACAGGAAAATAACTTCAAAATTATAAGTGAAGAAAAAAAATATTCACACACTTTGTGTTTGTTACTGAAATTGCTAACACACTAGTGTGTAAAGTTTTGAAGATCATGATCTAGGGAAATTAGCTGGGTTCTTCTTGTTAAGAATCGCTTAGAGAATAAAGAAGTGGGAATAGAAGTGTACAATGAATAATGTTCCTAGTAAGGATACAATTTTTCTTTTGCCTTTCATTCTAAAACACTGCATTTAATGCCCATACTATAATACTTTAGTCATTTATGTCTCAATTTCATTTTTATAGACTTATATTTTTAACATAAAAAAATCTAAAATCAACCTTAATGGGAACCTCTTTAAAATTGAACTATAAAAAACTGTGTAAGAATATATTCCTTTTTAAATTTTACTTTAGTAGAATATATTATTCTGCTGGCTCTATACATTTTCTTCTCTGAAAGCATACTAAGATGTAGTAGTGCTACCAAAAAATATGAAAACACAGATGTTTAAACAAATACTGGAAATACTCCCACTAGTAAGAACTCCCCAGTCTTCTCCCTCTTCTCAGAGAAGTCTTCTTTCAAAACACCTGTTGGGAAGTTTCTCTGAGTCTTAAATAATTTTATGTCACAATAAGCAGTTACTGTGATCTCTATTTGAGTTTAGATTCTAATATAATACATGATATAATTCATATAGAAATTGTTTCTATGAAAAGTGTTTTTATAAATTAGTATAATAATCTATTTGCCTTACCTACCACAAAAATCCATGCTCCTATTTTTCAAAATATATTTTATAGCCTTAAAATGAGTAAAATATTTCATTATAACAGTCTTTTTTTATGAGTCACGCTACTGAGGATATTTTAATCAGTTGTTTATTGATTACACACTTCAGAGACTACTTTACTTCAGCTGAGATACTTGAAATAAAATCTTTTAAAAATCTGAAATAAAATACCTTCTCACAAAACCCTCTTTCTTCATTAGTTTACATAATTGTGCTGCATCCATATTCAATAAAAATACCTTTATGCCCAAGAACCTACAAATCTTAACCTTAAAATTGAGCCCTAAGGCTTACATAAAATCTTTTGATTACTAAAATAAATCTTAATTTGTACTATAACATGAGTCTTACAAATCCTGAAGTTTCTAAGTTTTATGTCACCACTCTCTACCCATGTATCTCAAACAATTATGAAACTCTTCATTCCATCAATAGAAATACACCATACACCTTCTATATACTGGAAAATAAGATAAACCAGGTCTAATAGCTGCTAGTCCAAGTGTCCTCTGCTGGATTAAAATTCATCCTTCAGAAATACTCATGAGATTAATAGTGTGCTTCTTCAGCAGGCTGTGTTAAATAACTCACTAATAAATGCACTTGAAACAAGAATATGGGATACCTGAACACTTTAATTTAAAGGTTTCACTTAAGCCCAGAATATGTTTAGCAACCTAATTTAAAAAATAAAGAAAAAGTAAGGTAACTGTAGTCAATTTACTCTGTTCTCCAGAGCAGATATTGAGGAAAAACCTGATACATTTAAAAGGAAATTAACTTAGTAGTAATTTACAGAGCATCCCTTATAGGATTGCAAAAATTCAATCAAAAAACCCTGTTTTAACAATTTATATTGAGGATATTTCCAGATTTCCAGAGGAAGAGCAATATGGGAAATTGAGCCACTTTGGGAGTGGGGAGTGGGGTTTAAGAATTTAAAACACTTTTTCTGTGTCTTTATGGTGTAGATTAAGATTCAAGAAAAAAAGGAAGGGCAAGGAATTTTGTCCTTCTGTTTTCTGTTTAAACTATCTCTTTCCTTCTCTTCGTGTGTGTGTGTGTGTGTGTGTGTGTGTGTGTGTGTGTGTGTGATTTGCTTTTCCTCAAGTTTTACTGCTAATGAGAAGAATCATCATCATCATCACCACCACCATCCAGCCATCCAGCCATCAAGCAGTGACCAGCTACAAGAGCACTATGATATAAATACAATGTGGCCACCTCTACCCTCAAAACCTCCTGGATACTTCCATCCAAGGTTGTTCCCCACTAATGGACCAAACTCATTTTTACATGGACCCTAAATAAAAATAGAGCTGGAAGTGGAAGATCCCATTGTAATGTCAATGATAAAAATATAAGAAGAGTATATAACATGTGTCTTTGTGAAATGACTGTAAAAGATTTATAAATATATATTTTAACATCTCTATTTTAAAAGATTATCATAAATAGCAGTTTTAGACGGTCACAGAAAGACTTTTGTAGAAACCATGATTTTTCAAGGAATAAATTTCTTGTTCAGTGTTATATAAACCTCAAAAAAACCATGATTACTACTATTTTTAAACACTAAAAAGTGGAATTTAATATTAGTACAATTAATACTTTGGTATATTCAGTGTCATCAAGTATAAGAGTCTCTTTTACAAGGACATTATACTATTATAAGAAAATAAATTTTGCTAAGTTTTAGCATTTGTTACACTTGTCTCAGAAAATATAAGGTTATGAAATGTTTAAACCCTATTTTAATAATAAAAACATTACTTAATCAAGTGTCATTTAAAGGCGTTTACTTTTGAAAGCATAAAATAACACAAATTATTTTCATTTGCCCCAAACTAATCTTCCTCCCAAAGTATCACTTATAGTGAAACTCAGTTTTGAATTTCAAGTACTAGTCATCCAGAGTAATTTGTAGTAACTCACATTCATAATAGGGGATGATTAAGTTTTCCTGTGACACAACTTAATAGTGGATAAAAGAAACTAGGCAGTGACTAGACACAATACAGTCACCTGCTGCTGTTAAAATCTATGTCCAAGCTGGGTCATTTTTTTTTCATATATCAAAACCTTTGAATGGTACTATCTAATTACATAATAAGTATCACTCAGATATACAGAAAATACACAGTATGCAAACTTAAATGCATCCTGGAATTCTTCATGGCAAGTGCCTTTAAGTGCAACTTTGCTTCCGGTTTTCAAGAGCCCCAAAGCAGTCCATGACCTTATTGTGAACTTTCTACATTCATCACACACACACACACACACACACACACACACAGAGAGAGAGAGAGAGGTCAGGAAAACCACAGGACAGAATAATTTTAAACTTTTCATAGATAGTTACTCATCATTATCCAGAGTATACATTTATACAAACTTTTGAAAGATCTTAAGAGCATATGTGACATTTCCAAAGCTTAAGCAACTTAATGCATTGTGCTGCAGTTTTAAAGAGTAGATAAAATTAATGTCCTTTAAAATACTTTTTAAATACAAAGCTGACTTTGGGGGTGGCAGTGAAAACTGGCCCAAGGCTCTGACATTCTGGCTGACAGTTAACTCCTTAATATTTGGGTACCCATTTCTCTCACTTGGCATCCAATGCTTTAATGAACTTAAGTTCACTTTTAAAGTGAATTAGGTAAAACATTTTTTTTTCTCTATTCTGGAAATCCTTTCTTACAGGAAAAAAAAAAAATGTAGAGCCTCAAACAAAACTAAAGTAAAATAAACTATGCCTACTTAACCCTGCTAACATTTTTTAAAACTACAAAAATAAACTTTTAAAATGCCACAAAAGCAAGACATGTACATCTTGTAGACTTTAGACCATTTACATGGGAGAGAATATGTATAGATGAATGTTGTACACACGCAGTGGCAAAAGTGTAAACCATGTTCATTAAAAAAGAAAAGAAAAGAAAAGAAAAAAATCCCCTCTCGCTGCTGCTGGCAGTGGCTTGTCCTGTCAGCAAGGTTTCAGGACAGCTCCCACACCAGCACTAGCATGGAGTCCCAGGGGGGGGATGCTAAAAGTCTCCTACCTGAATTATGGACATCCGAGTGGCCGGGGTCTCGCTCGCATTAGTCCCTTGTCCGGTGAAGCTGGTGTGGCAGCCCGCGTGGCCCTGAGGGACAGTCAGGTTGTTGGTGGCCGGTTTGAGATACATCACCTCGGACCGGGGCGAGCTGAGGGGCAGGCGGGTCTGGTAGTCGAAGTACATGGGGGAGGTGGCCAGGGAGGGGCTGCTCACCACGTTCATGACGTTCATGGCGTTCCTCTCCTCCACCTCGCTCTGCACCAGCATGATGTCGTTCTTGTTGATCTTCTTCTTCTTGCCCTTGCCCCCGCCCAGCTGCGGGTGGCTGTACTCGGCGATGCGGCAGTTGTAGGTGCGGATCTCCTTGTTCTCCCGCTTGCACTTGACGGCGATGGTGATCATGGCCGCCAGCAGGATGATGGAGATGGTGCTCAGCGTCACGATGAGCGGCAGCGACATGTCCCAGGGGTGCTGCTCCCCGTTCACGCGCGGGACCCCCTCGGGCAGGGAGCCGCTCACCGAGCGGATGACGAGCTTGGCCACGGCCGACAGGGTGGGCTTGCCGTGGTCCGTCACCTTCACCACCAGCTCCACCACGGGCGTCACGTCCTCCCAGAAGGGGTGCAGCGTGCGGATCTCGCCGCTGGACGGGTCGATCTCGAACAGGTGGTCGTCGTTGCCGTCCACGATCTCGTAGGTGAGGCGGCCGCTCTCGCCGAAGTCGCTGTCCAGGGCGCGCACGGTGCTCACCAGGTAGCCCAGGCCGGCGTTGCGCGGCACCTGCAGCTCGGCCGTGTCGTTCTGCAGCGTGGGCAGCACGATCACCGGCGCGTTGTCGTTCACGTCCAGCACCGTCACCCGCACCGTGGCGTTGCTCTCCAGGTGCGCGGGCGCGCCCGAGTCCTTGGCCAGCACCTTGAACTCGAAGGCCTTGGTCTGCTCGTAGTTGAAGGAGCGCAGCGCGTAGATGGCCCCGTTGGTGGGGTTCACGGACACGTAGGTGTAGACGGACACGTCGCCGATGTGCGAGGGCAGGATGGAGTAGGACACGGTGCCGTTCTGGCCCAGGTCCGGGTCCTGGGCGAGCACGGAGCCCAGGTACTCTCCCGGGATGTTGTTCTCGTGCACCTGCAGCACGTACAGCCCCTTGGTGAAGCGAGGCGGGTTGTCGTTCTCGTCCAGGATCCTCACGGCGAACGACTTGGTGGAGTTGAGCGGCGGCGAGCCCCCGTCCCGCGCCACGATCGTCACGTTGTACTCGTCCTGCGCCTCGCGGTCCAGCGGACGGTCCGTCACGACCGTGTAGAAGTTGTCGTAGTTCTCCTCCAGCTTGAAGGGCACGGGCCCCCCGGAGCCGCCCCCGCCGCCGGCCGCCCCGCCGCCGCCCAGCACCCGGCACTGCAGCTGCCCGTTCTTGCCCGAGTCGCGGTCGGTGACCCGCACCAGCGCGATGACGGTGCCCGGCGGGGCGGCCTCGCTCAGCGCCCCCTGGCGCACGGACACGAAACCGATGGACGGTGCGTTGTCGTTGCGGTCGATGAGCTTGACCGTGACCTTGCAGTGCGCCGGGATGGGGTTGGGGCCCAGGTCCCGCGCCTGCACGTCGATCTCCAGCATCCCGTTCTCCTCATAGTCCAGGTTTCCTTTGACGCGGATGAGGCCGGTCTTGGGGTCGATGGAGAAGAGCTCCCGCACGCGGTCGGGCACGTAGCTGCTGAAGGCGTAGAGCACCTCGCCGTTGGGGCCCTCGTCGGCGTCGGTGGCGTTCAGGTCGATGACCACGGTGCCCGCGGGCGAGTTCTCGGGCAGCTCCACCAGGTAGGAGGGCGCCTCGAACACCGGGCTGTTGTCGTTGGAGTCGATCACCTTCACGTCGATCTGCACGGTGGCGGAGCGCGGCGGCTCCCCGCCGTCCAGGGCGGTCAGCACGAGCGCGTGGCGGCTCTGCTGCTCGCGGTCCAGCGCCTTCTGGATGACCAGCTCCGGGAACTTGGTGCCGTCGCCGCGGGACTTGACGTCCAGCGCGAAGAGGCCGTGGTCGTCGCGGGTGAGCAGGTAGGTGCGCAGCCCGTTGTCGCCCGCGTCGGGGTCGTGCGCGCTGGTGAGCGGGAAGCGGGTGCCGGGGGCCGCGTTCTCCGAGATGTCCATCTCGATCTGGTCCGAGGGGAAGGACGGCGCGTTGTCGTTGATGTCCTGCACCTCCACCTTGATCATGCAGATCTCCTGGTCGTTGGCGAACACCTCGAGCGACAGCTGGCACTTGGCGTTGTGGCGGCACAGGGACTCGCGGTCGATGCGCTGCTTGGTGTAGAGCAGCCCGCTGTCGGCGTCCACGTCCAGCAGGTGCGGCGCCGAGTTCTCCAGCACCCGGTAGCTGCCGGACCGGCCGCGCCCGCCGCCCCCGCCGCGCTCCCCGGGCGGCACCCCCGGCTGCAGGCGCGCATCCTTGCCGATGTTGCCGATCACCGTGCCGGCCCCCTGCTCTTCCGGCACCGAGTAGTTCAGGTTTTTGAGCGTCAGGGCGGGGGCCCACAACAGAAAGCAGCAACAGATGGAAAGGTACATCCCAGCCCGGTGGGGTGGAGGCAGGAACAGGCGGACCGGAGCGGGGAGCGAGGGGGTGCGCGGCAGCCCGGAGCCCCCGCGCAGCATGCGCGCGCGGAGCCGAGCCACCAGTCCTGGGGGTCTCCCTCCTTCCTTCCCTCCCCCCGCTCCCGGGCTAGCGGGACCCCGCGGTCCCTCCTCTGCACCCGCTCAAGTTCCCGAACCTGTTGATCTACAGCATCCGCGCCGGGCGGGCGAGAAGCAGGGGCGGGCGCGGCGGGGCTTCGGGAGCGCGGAGCCTGGCGGCGGCGGCTCCCCCGCGGCTGGGGCAAGCCCCGGGCTGGCTTTGTCTTCGCCGCCCCGAACTTGATGGAGGAAGACTCAAACTTCAGCGATGACTACGGTGCGGGGAGGGGGAAAGAAAAAATGTCAATCTAGTCCGGGAGGGGAGAGAACGAGCCTGGAATGCGCCGGTTTGCCTCGCTCCCCCTCGGACGCTGCCAATCCGCTCCCGCCAGGAGCCTCCGGAATACTCTCCCAACGGGGAGGGGAGGAGGGAGCGGGAGGTGTGTCTTCGGGCAGACGGGAAAGTGAAATCCTTACTTGCTTCTGGCCGCCTCCGGTGATGCAATGAATGGGGCTGGGAGCCGCAGGGAGAGGGAGAGAGGCGGAGAGGTTGCGAAGCTTCCCCCGGAGCGCGGTGAGATGCCTGCTGGCTCCTCCGGCGGCTCTGCGCCGATCAGGCCGCGTTTCCCCGCATTTAGAGATCTAATCTTGCGTTGCTGGCTGAGGCGGCGGCGGCGGCGGGCTGCATCTCCCAGCCAAGCGTATTTTTCCCCCCTCTCTGCTTTCCGAGCAGCCTCAGGGAGGGGAGGAAATGCAGTGCAAAGAACTAGTGTCCCGATTTGTAGTTTCCTCCCTCCGCCAAGCTCCTCCCTCTCTTCCTCCGAAAAGGCTCTCCCTCCCCAAAGTCAAGGAAGCCACAGCCCGGTGTGCGTTTGCGGTGTGAGTCCACGGGGAGGGTGTGTGTGTGTGTGTGTGTGTGTGTGTGTGTGTGTGTGTGTGTGTGGAGGGGGGTGGGAGGAGAGGGAGGGTGTATCGAGGTATCTCCGCCTCCGCCCGGACGACACGCACTCTGATTTCTCTGCGGGAAGCCAGGCGCCGCCGCTACCAGCCTCCCATCCTCTCCCGGCGGCGAGCAGGGACTTCTCTGGCTGCAGTTTAATTCCAGTTTGCGTTGCTTCCCTGGCGAAAGGAAATCAACAGGCAACTCATGGTTGGATGTGCAGATTGGGGGAGGGGGGGTGCGGGGGGGGAGGAGGCGGAATAGGAAGGCAGGGGGAGCCACCTCCCAGTCCTCTGCACACACACACACACACACACACACACACACTCTCTCTCCCTGTCTCTCGCTAGAAGGGAAACAGTCTCTGCATTCACAAGGCTGGGCTGTCAAGTGCCTCTCTTTTCTTTCTATTCAGCCTCTCCTTCCAATGGCCCCGTCTCCCAGTCCGCGTCATGTAGAAAGGCAAGGCTTTGGCGAGGAATGAAAGTGGGGAGCGTTTGAAGCGAAGAAAGTGCGGGTCTTTTTTTTTTTTTTCCTCCCCTTCTTCTTCAAAAAAAAATTATATATTTTTTTAATAGACAGAATGAGCTGGATGAAAGAAAGACACCATCCAGATCTGGCGTGATGCCTTCTGCAGTCTGGCTCTCAGTCTCTGGGCGACTCGGGGAGGGAGCGCAGGGAGCGAGGAGCCGGGGCCGCGCCGGGCCAGCCAGGGGCGCCCACCCCGGGGGGAAGGGAGCTCCCTCCGAGGGGGCGTCAGACCCGGGCCGGCGAGCACGCTATGTCAGGTCCTCCGGGCGCCTGGCCGTGCGGGGATGACACATCCAGGAATGCAGGTGTTCCGATCCGATCTGCCGCCGGCTGAGTCAGAGGCAGCGGGACGAATGGCATTCACCCTCGCCTGCCTCCGGGTCTTCCCTGCACAGACGTTAGTCGTGGCTTCCTCCAGAGGCTTTCTCTGACTCACTCACTCACTGCCCGGGAAGGAAAGCCAGATTCTCGTTTTGGAGGAGGAGGAGGAGGCAAAAAAAAAAAAAAAAAAAAAAAAAGCGAGAGCGAGGGAAGGAGAGAAGCGGGAAGGGGAAGCCGAATCCAGCAGCACTTTTTACTCTACCTCTGTCTGCCGGAGTCCAAGGCAGGGGAAAGCAGGGCGTCTGTTTCGCTAGGTCTAGGTATTTGTTTATTTAAGAAAGAAAGAAAGAAGAAGAAAAGCCTTTCCTTTGGCTTAGGCGTGAGGAACCACCAAATCTCTCAGAGTCTCTTTTTTGGGGCGATCAGGATTCCAGGGAGTGTTCCCAGCTCAGCCCCGCATCACAGTTCAGGATTTTCCTCCCAATGTTCTCTATTCATAAGAGTCCAGCCCCGGCGCGCAGAGTTAATAGTGCAGTCCGTGGTGGAGGGTTTTTTTGTGTGTGTGTGGTGTGTTTTTTTTTCCTCCTCCTGTTCTGTCACGGGTGGTCTCTTTCAATCCGGTGCCTGTCAGGATCAGCTCACAGCCTGCAAAAGACGTGCGGGTTTCAAAGCCAACGAAGCCATCTCCGAAGGCGACGCACCGAAGGAGAGGAGAGGCGAGGATTCAACAGTTGGAGCACCGTCTCCCCGGCCGCCCGCCGCCCGCCGCTGCCGCTGCCGCTGCCGCTGCCGCAGCCGCCGGCTCGGCCCGCAGCCCGGCTCCCTCCCCAGCGCCTCTTGCTGACTGACTATTCCCCTCACGCCGCCGCTTAAACATTGATACTGATTCCCCGCCGGCCAATCCGCGCGAGGGGCACGGCCCCGCCCCCTGGGCCCGCGCCCAATGGGAGGCGGCGAGGAGACTGGCGGGGGCGGAGCCAGGAACCCCAGCGCCGCGGAGTCATTGATTAGATCAGTTCGCAGGGAGACCGGCGGGGCCAGCCGCAGTGGTTGGTGCCCCAGCCTCGCCTCCGGGTCTCAAGTATTGGACCCCTGGGGGAGGTCCTTCGCCGCCTTCCTCTGCAAAAGAGGGAAGTCACTGAAGGGGAAAAGAAAAAAAAAAAAAAAAAAGTTAGGCAGCGGGGTGTATACGAGAACCCGGATCGCAGCTAGCTTTGCTAAAGAAGGTAGCTGCGGTCTTCCCGGTGGGTTTCTGCACACACACACACACACACACACACACACACACACACACACACACACCATGCACACACACCATGCACACGCTGGCACCACGGACACACCCATAGCAAGGGAGGCCTGGATCTTTGGTCTTTGGCTGCGTGTGGACCCGTCTGAATGAGGTGCAAAGGGGTGTGTGTGTGTGTGTGTGTGTGTGTGTGTGTCTGGGGGTGTGATGTGTATTTCAGTGAGTGTGTGTGAATGTGAGGGCGCTCGCGCGCCCGCTTCTGCAAGCGCTGCTGCAAACAGGCTACAAGCAACGGCAATCAATATGTAACTTTATCCTCTGAGAAAAAATCAGCTGTCCCCGGGCACCCATGCAAGGAAAGTCCCTTGATTATGAAAGTGTTTCAGAAGACTAGCAGGAGGTCGCCTCTCCCTTGAGAAAAAAAAAAAAAAAAAAAAAAAAAAAAGGCGTCTCTCCTTTAAGGAGAAAGGCTCGCTGTCAGTTCAAGCTTTGAAGCTTGTTAACCCAAATCTGGCTAAATAATATTCAGGGCTCTACCTTTTCCAGTCACCCCCATCCTCTCAGTCCAGATTCAAAGTAAAGCGGACGCACGCCCAACGACAAGCAATAGGTTAGATGTTTTGTTAGCCTCAAGCCTGCTATTGAAGTTCCATAAGGCAATTTGAATTTTATCTCCTTAAGACCAAATTTCAGTGTTAATAACCACATTTGCCAACACGCTTATGCATAGAAGCTGAATCATAAACACGAAGGCAGATCAATGGGAGGTCTGTGAAGACTCCTGTTTTGTAAATAACACCACCATCACCAGGACTACACGTGCACAGGCACACACAGGAGATTTGAGGGGAGGGGCTGGAAAGAGAGGAAGAAAGAGAGAAGGGAAAGGGGTCCTGATTCATTTTCTTCTCCAACTTCAATGCCTAATTTCAGAGATCCTTTCTTCCCAGATTATTATCACGAACATGCACAAGTGAGGACTGGTTTGCTAGTGATCCAGCAGCTCTCGGAAAGAGTTAAGAAGAAAAAAGAAATTGAAGTATTGAAATAGAAAAGGTGAGTGTTTTGATTGCTATCGCATTGATCGCAATTCATAAATACTAAAGTTAAGTTGCCATTTATAAATTGTGAATGACTAAAGTACAAGTCTGTAACATTAATCATTCAAGATTCAAAGAAAATCAAATCCAGACTTACAAGAAAGTTCTGATGATTGTTGTTGGGGTAATTGCTTGAACATTCAGGTTTAAAAAAAAAAGAAAGAAAGAAATAAAGTTGTTTACTCACCAGTGAATTCAATGATATAAACCTACAGACTGAATTTGCAGTCAGATCTGTATCCAAAATTCACCATTCTCTTAAGAGACTATTTTTAACAGCTGAAGTTTTTAAGGAGGAGCTTTTAACAGCCAGACCTCCAAATCCTACAATGGCTTTGTATTTTCTCTAATAAGTAGTTTGCCATGCCTATACCTTTGCTAACCAAGGGAGCTAGGACTTGTAGAAATCTGGATTGTTTTGTACTCAGTGGGTGTTTAACATGCTGAGCTGTGAAATCTGATCTTTACATCCCTTTGATGTTGGTAGTACCCCAGTCCCAACTTATATACCTTGAAAGGTGAGGCTTTGAAGCTTTAAAAGTTGCGGTTAACTTAAATAAAGAGTCATGATTATACACTCACTTATTAATCATTACTTTTTAATACAACAAATCTATGGCTTTTTTTTTTTTTTTTTTTGGCATTGCATACTAATTCAAGGAAAGTCATGAAAGGAGAAAGCAAAAACAAGAGAATGAAAAAAATTCAAAGGAAAGGGTAATATGGTTTATTGATTAGCCTTAATTATCTGCCCTGTTGTGCAAATAAGGGGAGAGACAAGGTTTATGAGACTAGTGATAGGAAACATATCCTCCTAGACCTGAATCTGCCCACACCCTTC